TTGAAGCTGCTGGAGCTGGGCCGCCTGGTCCTCTCTGCTCTTCTCCCTCCCCCTCCCCCATGGGCAGTGGCACCGACTGACTGACAGAAGCAGGTGCTTTGGAGGTGGGGGTGGCGCCAGCAGCCAAGGGGTTAATGGTCCTGGCAGGGGCTCGATGGATCACAAGGGTCAGATGTCCCTCCTGGATAGGGACAGGCAGAGGCTCGCAAGCTGCTATTCCCGGGCTCTGATCACAGTCACCTATTTATAGAGCTGGGGGGGGCCTCGGCTCTCCCCACACAGGCGGTGGAGAGGCTGCTCTGCTGCAATGTCACCAGCGTCACTGCCACTGCAGGCTGCTGGCATCTGCCGCTGCCGCAGGCTCCGGGGCCACCAGGCACTGTGTGAAGCAGAGACTCGGCCCGCCACATGGGCAGCACCATGGAGCCTCCCGGGGGTGGGTACCTGCACCTGGGCGCTGTGACATCGCCTGTGGGCACGGCCCGCGTGCTGCAGCTGGCCTTTGGCTGCACCACCTTCAGCCTGGTGGCCCACCGGGGCGGCTTCGACGGTGTCCAGGGCACCTTCTGCATGGCTGCCTGGGGCTTCTGCTTCGCGCTCTCGGTCCTGGTGGTGGCTTGTGAGTTCACCCGGCTGCACAGCTGCCTGCGCCTGTCCTGGGGAAACTTCACAGCAGCCTTCGCCATGCTGGCCACACTGCTGTCCGCCACAGCTGCGGTCATCTACCCATTGTACTTTGCGCAGCTGGAGTGCCTACCCGAGCCCGCGGGCTGCACGGCCAGGGGCTTCCGCCTAGCAGCCAGCATCTTCGCCGGGCTCCTCTTCCTGGCCTACGCCACGGAGGTGGCCCTGACTCGGGCCCGGCCAGGCCAGGTGGCCAGCTACATGGCCACGGTGTCGGGACTCCTCAAGATCGTCCAGGCCTTTGTGGCCTGCATCATATTTGGGGCGCTGGTCCACGACAGCCGCTACGGGCGCTACGTGGCCACCCAGTGGTGTGTGGCCGTCTACAGCCTGTGCTTCCTGGCCACAGTGGCCGTGGTGGCCCTGAGCGTGATGGGCCACACGGGGGGCCTGGGCTGCCCCTTCGACCGGGTAGTGGTGGTGTACACCTTCCTGGCTGTGCTCCTCTACCTCAGTGCTGCAGTGATCTGGCCCGTCTTCTGCTTCGACCCCAAGTACGGTGAGCCTGCGCGCCCCCCTGACTGCCGGAGGGGCAGCTGCACCTGGGACAGCCAGCTGGTGGTGGCCACCTTCACCTATGTCAACCTGCTCCTCTATGTCGCTGACCTGGCTTACTCCCAGAGGATCCGCTTCGTGCCTGCCTTGTAGCCCGACAGGCAGCGGCCCACCCTCTGCTCTCCAGGGGCTCAGGCACCATGAGGGGACCCAGGTGAGCCCAGACCTCCAGGGACAAACCAGAGGGAGGCAGCCGGTAGAGCCATGACTGGGCTTCTGGCAGTGCTCAGCAGCTCAGCTCAGGGAGGGGCGGAGGGGGGACAGAACAGGTCACGGAGCCCTGAACAGGTCACGGGGAAGGAGTCTCTGCCAGGCAACTCCCAGCTCTTCTCTCTCCCTGTCTATCTCTCTGTCTTTGTCTCTCTCTGTCTCTCTCCATCTCTCTTCATTTGCTGGCACACCCTGCCTCAGTGCTAGCCACTGCAACACATGAGAAGACTTTGAAGCAGGTGCTGTTGTGACCCACTTTGCAGATGGGGACCCTGAGGCTAGGATTAAGAAGTTGGCCCCAAGCGTCCATAAACGTCTGGAGACCACATTTGGGCTGAGTAAACTAAGTAGTGTGGAAAAGGAGCGTGGTGAGCCTGTGCTTCCTCTAGCCTTGAAAGGGCAGTTCCTGGAACCCTGGAAGGACATCTATGCAAGCGGGGCTCTGCTGGGGCATCTGTGCCAACTGGAGGAGGAGCTGGGAATCAGGACCCCGCCTTGCCGCCTCTGAGCGGCCACAGCTTTGGAAGCTGAGCAAGGACTCTGGTGTGGCCACAAAGGGCAGCCTCATCAAGCTGGAGACAGTGCAGGCTCGGAGGGACCCATGGGGCCGGCAACACTGACAAGAGCACAGCATGCTAAGGAGAAGCTGGGTTCCCACCCAGGCAGGGAGCCACCACTGGGCCCCCGCTGTCTGCCCCGATGTGGCAGCTTCTGCAGTGCCTGCCATGGGCCCCGGGGGGCTGGCCTAGGGCAGGCCTGACCCAGGGGAGGACCAGCCTGGGGCAGCCACTGGGGCATGGAGCCTGGGCACCAGGCATCACCCGGGTGCTCACAGGCCCACCACCTCTGTTCAAGTGTTCATTTGCCTGGCTGCCAACCACGAGGGCCTGCTGGGGCCATTGCCCTCCACACTCCAGAGAGCTTCTCCCACTCAAGAACCCAGACTGGGCCAGCCCAGAGCAGCGCACTAGCTGCCGAAGCACAGCAGCCGCTCAGCCCGTAGACTGGCCCCTGGCCTTGAGCAGGAAATAAACACCAAGGCTGATTTGCATGGAGAAGTTTCTGCTTAGGGGGTGGTAGCCAGAGGGGGCGGTGGCCAGCTGTACCTCCTGGGTCATCCACCAGCATGTTCCCAGAGAAGAGCCTAGACTGGGCTTGGCTGAGGAAGGAGGCAGCTGTGGGAGGGCTGAGGCACTCTGGGGGTAAGAACGTCTCCTGAGGAAGTAGGTGTCCTCTCCCCAGGTGGGTGACAGCAAGGGGAGGATGGGGGTGGGGAGCTCTCGGCACTCACCACCACCGCTGGGGTTTCCAAGGGCCCTGGACATAGCAGTGGGCAGAGGGGCTGCTACACCCGTGGCAGCAGAGCCCGAGCAGCTGTTAGGCACGGGGTCCAACGGCTCCCTGTGCTGACACCATGCACAGTGTGAGAGAAGTGGCCCGCCCGCCCGCTGGGGAGGGCACACGCACAGGGGCCGTTTACCTGGAGAGGCCCGTCTTCAGCAGCAGATCCCTGAGGGGGCAGGGACCCCTGTGTCCTGAGGTGTCCTGAGGGCCCTGCTGGCTGAGGGAGGGCGGGGGTTGGGAGTGTGTTACCAGGCGACAAAGGAGCATATGGGCCACACCCTTCCCAGCTCACAGGGAGGCCTAGACAGTCTTCCTTTTCTAATCAAATTTCAGAAATGAGTTATCTGTCACCAACTCCCAATTTCCTCACTGTCCTATGGACTTCTGCCCCCAGAGCTCCACCCACCCTAAGTTTCAAAGATCCTGAGGGGGAGAGAGAGGAGGCAAGGGGTTCCAGGACTCAAGATAAGCATGGCAGATGTCATCTGGCCTCCGGGAGGCTGCCCTGGGGATTGTCTTCATGCTATTCTCTCCCTGGATCAGAGGACTCTCGCTTTTTGGAGAAAGGAATTATTTGTCGTTGTCACTTGAGAAACAATACTTTTTAAAAGATGGACTCTGTTCTCTGATTATATACAGTCAGTTAAAATGGAGTGGGACACCCAAGTTTGAGTCTATGGGCTTGAGTCTGGGCCACTCCCTGAACAGTCCACTTTGGACCGGATCTTACTGTAGATCCTCCCTCAGAGGGTGAGGACTGAACACCAGAATAAACATACGAGGAGGCCTGGACATCTGCCGCGTACACACGCTCACTACACAGTGGTCTGGTGGTGTTGATGTTGGTCATTATTATGTCAAGGAGAACTCATAGCCCTGCTTCTGGGGCACAATCATCCAAGTAACACTGAAATTACATTTCAGAACATTTTGTCATCATTTAAGATACAGAACCGAAAAAATAAAGCGGCTTACCCCCTCCCCTGGTGCGGGGATGGGATGTCAGTGATGATGCTTCTTACTTTGCCCTTAACCCTGCTGCTGACTGGGACCCCAGACTATCCTGAAAACCAAATGCAGACTCAGCTCAGATGAGCCCTGAGCACGTCCTCAGGGAGAGATGACTAGAGCTTTGTTCTTCGGAAAACCTAGGGTCAAAAAATTCCACGGACCCTTCAGATGAGATGTCAGGAGACATGAGTGCTCCGTGGAAACTGGGGGCACTAGGGCGTCATCTTCCTCTGTCTACTGGTTGACCACCACCCACCCTGAGAGCCTGTTTGAGGAGGTTCACGTGGTAACAGGCCAGTGGCCCCCAGTGTCATGCAGTTTTCAAAGGGCGCCTGAGCCTTAGAAGAGACTTGGAGAGCAGAAACCCCAGGTGGGAAGGAGGGGGTCCAGATCTCACAACGACAGGGCCCGGAGAGAGGAGCCCTAGCCCAGGGCCACTCTTTTGAGGGCCCGGCTCCTGCCGCCCCTCCCCCGGCGCCCTCAGTCCTCAGGCGCGGTCCCGGGAGGTGGGGGTGGGGGGCGGCGAGGGTTTCGGTGCGCTGGGGCCGGGACTGAAGGCGCAGGTTCAGGAGTGCGGGGGCGACTGGACCCAGAGGAAGGGGGCGGGGGTGAGCGGATGATGCAACTGCCCCTCGGCGCCTCCCGCGCCCCCAGATTGGCCGGTTCCAGGGCGGCCGCGCCGCGGATTGGCTGGGGCGGGGGGGCCCCCCGGCGCTGGGTGCCGCGTGGCGGGCGCGCAGCTGCGGACCGGGGGAGACTCGCACCGAGTAACTGGGTAATTGGGAGCCAAGCTGTGGGTCGGGGTTCGGCTCGGGCGGGCGGTGGTGCCGCCGGGCAGAGGGAAATGCAAGTCCGCGCCCTCGCCTCCGGCGTCGGGGGGCGGCTCGGACCTGGGGGAGCGTGGGCGTGGGAAGGGGATTCGGGCGTGAGGAGGGGACTTGGGCGTGCGGGCGTCCCCCTACCCCATGCCTCTTCCCGACCCTTTCCGGAGGCTGGCCCGCCCCTCTCTGCCCCCTGTCTGGGACCCGCCGGAGCAGGTCGGGACGCTGCGGTGGGCGGGGGCACCGGAGCGGGGGAGAGTTAGACCCGCTGGGATGGGGGTCACCGGTCGGCGGTGGAGTGGCCAAGTCTGGCCCTGCCCGCCTAACTTCTTGTTCTGGATTCTGCCCCATCTTCCCGCAGCTGCTCCTGCGGAGACGGTGCCAGCTGTGAGGGCAGTGGGCGCAGGCCTCCAGACACCATGAGCGTGGGCTTCATCGGGGCTGGCCAGCTTGCCTTTGCCCTGGCCAAGGGCTTCACAGCAGCCGGTAGGCGCTGCGGCCAGGAAGGGGCCAAGCGTGAGAGCGTGGGCCAGTTACACTTCCCCAGGCTGGGAGGTGAGGGTGGAGTCTGCATTAACGTGCCTCATTTGAGCACTGTGGAAAACGGTAGCCTTGGAAGGTTTGGGGTAAGGCAGGGGTTGCTGTCTTACCCTGGGTGGTGCGATTTCTGTTCTTCCTGAGGATGTGGTGGAGGGACGCCAAGACTGGCCTTGAGGGAAGAACTCTGTCTCTCACAGGTGTCCTGGCTGCCCACAAGATAATGGCCAGCTCCCCAGACATGGACCTGGCCACTGTTTCTGCCCTCAGGGTAGGTGCAGGGTGGAGGGTGACCAGTCAGTATTTCTAGAGGCCAGTGTGTGATAGCCTTGACCCTGGAAGGCCAGGAGTAGTGGCCCCAGAGGGAGGCACCATGCCACAGTCCCCCACGCCAATGAGAAGAGGGTCCCTGGGCTGGAGTATCTAAAAGACCCTGCCTCCTGGCCTGCAGATGGGTCCCCTCCCTATGCTCTTGGGAACTTGGTGACCGGCACATGTGCCACTGGTGGTCAGGAATGGGGTTCCCCAAGTGGAGCCACCACAGGGGATCACAGTATGGGGGCCAGGAGAGACCACCTGGGGGCTGAATACAGTTTCAGTTTGCCATAGCTGAGTGGGGGCTCCATGTCCAAGGGTGGGGGCAGGCTACCAGCTTGAGACCACTATCCACACCACCACTCGCACTTGACGAGGTGGTCAGGGGTTTGGGGGCTGCAGCCCTAGGTGGGGTGGGCTGGGACTGTGGTTTGGATGCAGTTTCCCTTGTCCGCCCACAAAAAAAATACCTTCCAGATCAGGATGCTTCCTCCACTTTTGTGTGGGAAGGGCAGTTAGATGGTGTCAGAGCCCCGTGCCTTGAGCTCCCAGCCCTGCCGTGCCCACATTCCCATCATCCTCTGTGCTGTTCTACACGAGGGGCTCTCGGCCTGCGGGGATACTAAGGGGGCCAGCCAGCCACATACAGCAGGCTGAGCTCGCCTTGGCGCTCCCTGCAGAAGATGGGGGTGAACCTGACGCCCCACAACAAGGAGACCGTGCAGCACAGTGACGTGCTCTTCCTGGCGGTGAAACCACACATTATCCCTTTCATCCTGGATGAGATTGCCGCCGACATTGAGGATCGGCACATCGTGGTGTCCTGTGCAGCTGGCGTTACCATCAGTTCCATCGAGAAGGTGGGCACTGCGGGTCAAGGTCCGGCGGGGTCTGGAGATGGGGTGGAAGTGTGCACTGCAGAGGGCTCAGGAGCCCTGGCGTGCTCCACACCTGGTTCTCCATCTTTGGAATAGGTGTGTTTGCATAGCTCACAGAACTCAGGAAGCGTTCAGATGGGTGAGCATGTTCACACCCGCACCCAGCACAGCATGCATCCCACAGCATGGGATGGACACACAGCCAGTTTCTTCCCCAGAAGCTGACAGCGTTCCAGCCGGCCCCCAAAGTTATCCGCTGCATGACCAACACGCCGGTCGTAGTGCGGGAAGGAGCCACTGTGTATGCCACGGGCACCCACGCCCAGGTGGAGGATGGCAGGCTCCTGGAGCAGCTCATGGGCAGTGTGGGCTTCTGCACGGAGGTGGAGGAGGACCTGATTGATGCTGTCACGGGACTCAGCGGCAGTGGCCCAGCTTATGTGAGGATTGGGGAGGAGCGGGGGCAGTAGGCAGTCCCCAGGATCTCAGGGCATGTCTGCCCCTCTTCCACCCTCCTCCTTGCTCTGGGCCCCTGCGGGCAGAGCTGCTGGACTAACCACTGCCTAGAGGAAATGGAGAAAAGGCCTGGGACAGCAGCTTAGGTGCTTTCTCTCTGCAGGCATTCACAGCCCTGGATGCACTGGCTGATGGGGGCGTGAAGATGGGGCTTCCAAGGCGCCTGGCAGTCCACCTCGGGGCCCAGGCTTTGCTGGTTAGTGTTCTTCCTGACCCTCTGGTGGGGGCCACTCCTTACCAGGACCAAGACTGGTGCTCTGGGGTGGATGGGTGGAGAGTCAGTGGGTGCTGCACTGGTTGGGGCTGGAAGCAGTACCCTCACAACCTTCAGCCCCCCTCTTTGGCTTCAGGGGGCCGCCAAGATGCTACTGGACTCCGAACAGCACCCAGGCCAGCTCAAGGACAACGTCTGCTCTCCCGGTGGGGCCACCATCCACGCCTTGCACGTGCTGGAGAGCGGGGGCTTTCGCTCCCTGCTTATCAATGCTGTGGAGGCCTCTTGCATCCGCACACGGTGGGCCCCCGCTGCTGCCTGCCCACTCAGTCATTCACTCACCAGATGTTTATCAAGCTCTGGCCTAGCAGTGGGTAGGGTGCGGGGAGCCCTGAGGTTCCCTGGGGTGGCGGTGTGCAGCATCCCTCACCACTCTTCATCATCCTGTGAAGAGGGGCTGCCCTCTGGGCCCATGCTGGGCTCTGCATGTGATTTCATCATTTGTGGCCTTCAGACTCGGGTGGTCATCCAAGCCAGGGAGGCAGACCAGGGGGAACCTCTGTGGGGCTGATGATAACACCTTACTCTTGGCCTTGCCGGGGAGACTGAGAGAGTTAGAAGCACAGGATGCGCTGGCACAACGACAGCACATGAGAGCTGAAAGAAATCCAAAGAGCAGGGGACGGACAGGCCTCCAGGATGGACAGGGCTCTTTCTCACCACCCTACCTGCCCTCCAGTCCAAGCCCACAGGCTTCTCTGCCACTGCCTGACAGTGAGGCTAGAACGTAATGCTGCTCTCCTGGCACCAACCTGCAGGGGAGACAGATGAGGCATGTGTCCCGTGCTCAGGGCCACGAGGACTCAGTGTCTGGGGGGCTGCTGGTAGATTTGGTGACCCTGAGCTGGCTTGAATGAGGTGAGAGGCAGCTGAATGGCAATCTAGGGGAGAGGTAGCTGGCGGTGGGAACTGCAGGGGCAAAGGCCCTGAGGTGGGAGTGACAGCACAGCAGCACCCTAGGCTGGCAGGTGCTGGGAGCTGTGCACTTCTTGCCACTTCCTACTTGGACCCCTGGGCTCAGAAGGAGGTGGAGCCCTGGACACAGCCCTCCTCACTGTCTCCCCAGAGAGCTGCAGTCCATGGCCGACCGGGAGAAGGTCTCACCAGCTGCCATCAAGAAGACCATCCTGGACAAGGTGAAGCTAGACTCCCCTCCCGGCACCTCACTGGCCCCTTCTGGCCACTCCAAGCTGCTGCCCCGCAGCATGGCCCCGGCAGGCAAGAAGGACTGAGGTGTCCAACCTGCCCGCAGGCCACTCTCTGCCTTTTCCTCCTGGGCTCGGAGCTCTGTGCTGGGAGTGTCTAGCCCCAGGCCTCACAGGATGTCCTCACATCCCCCCGTGGCTCTGGTCCACTTGGGTCAGTGGAGCTGTAGCCAGGGAGGGGGCACATCACTTCCCAGTGGGAACCTCCATGGTCCCCAAGTGTGTCCTGATCCAGAACAAGGAAGGATTCTCTGACGTCAGCCTCCCCCTTCCTCTGCCCCCAAACCAGGTCAGGACCACCTTCCTCCAGAGCTCAGGAGGCTTGGGGGGCTTCAGCACCCAGTGTCAGCTGGCTTGGGCTTGAGTACAAAGGTCAAGGTCCCCGCCGACCCACCCCACCCCAACCATGAATGCCCAGCCAAGGAGAGAGCTTGATCCCACTCCTGCCCTTTCTCCACTCCTTCCTCAGTGTGGGAAGGGCCAGAGGGTCCCTGGAATCCAGCAAAAGGGCCAATGGTTCTTGGCCAGCGTGACATTTGAGAAAAGGGCTCCTCAGATGGTTGAACGCCCGAGGCCCCAGTACACTCAGGCCATCATCTCCCATTCCTGGCCCAACCAACAGATGCTGTCATTTCTGTCTCTGACTTTTCAGGTTAAATAAATTGGTTTCCAGCCCCAGTGTCCTGACTTCTAACTTTGTCACCACCTGTGGAGAGAGGCCCAGACCTGTGCCAGAGGGTCATTGCTGTCCGATGTAATACTGAAGCCTGAGCCAGCAGCCCACAGGCCCAGAGCCCTGCATTCCAATGCAGCCAGTCTGGCTGGTGGGGCTGAGTCTCCAATGAGCAGAGGGGGAGGGGGATTCTGGGGCCTCAGTCACTAGAGGCATGACTGGAAGCTGGCACTGTAGGCTGGGCTTGGCAGGCCCTGCTGTGGGAGGGGCATCAGCCTCAGCACCCTCTATGCCTCCTGGTTTGGTGGGGGCAGATGTCTCCCCGACTCACGCAGGTGAGGCCAAGGGTGGGTGAGGAAGAATCTTCCTAGGAAAGTGTATTAGGGTTCTCCGGAGAAACAACCAGTAGGAGATGGCTTATATATATATAAGAGGGAATATAGAAACAAAAGATTTATTATAAGGAGTTGGCTCACACAATTATGGAGGCTAGCAGGCAGGCTGGAGACCTGGAGAGAGCCAATATTTCGGTTCAAAGGCCATCAGGCAGGGAGAGCCGATGTTGCAGGTGCTGTCTGAAGGCAGACTGATGGAGAATTCTGTCTTACTCTGCAGAGGGTTGGTCTTCTGTTCTATTCAGGCCTTCAACTGCTTGAGTGATGCCCACCCACATATGGAGGGCAATCTGCTTTATTGGTTAAAATGTTAATTTGGTCTAATGTTGAAGTCTACTGATTTACATGTTAAATCATGCAAAAACACCCTCAGAAACAGAATAATATCTGGTCACCCCATGGCTCAAAGGTTGATGTAAAATTAACCATCACAGGAGGCCCACAAGATCAAAGGAGCTGCTGAGGTCAGAACCCTTTATGGGGCCAGGAGGGCTCATATTTGTTTGATCAACAGTTACTGAGCATAGAAACAGTAAGACACTCACACACACACACCCGGTGAGTATATCAGAGGAGCGGGGCTAGGTGTCTGTAGGGGGTTGGCAGGGGGCACCCAGGTGAAACAATGGGTCCCAGGAGGGGCAGGGGAGGGGACCAGGAGAGCCCCTGGGCAGAGGTTTTCCAGGAACTACATTGCAAGGTCTCAACTCCAGTTCGTTTCCTTCCCCTGGGCCCACTTAGAACCAAGGCTTGATGCAAGTGGGGTAGGTAGAGGGAGCACTCTGTGGACAAGGACCCGGCCTTCCAAATCTACAGGAGACAGGAAAAATAGAGCAAGTGAGGGGCAAGACCACATACCCTTGCCCCTGCCAGGGTGGACTCCAGAGTCTAGGTCACACCCCACGTACCGACCGCCCAAGGCCCTCACAGGGCCTAGAGTCCCTACAGGGCCCTCCTAAGGCATAAGCCCCTGGCACAGGCCACCATGCTGGTGGATAGAAGCTGGCGTGAGGTGGGCTGTGGGCCTCCCCTGGCAAAGTACTTGGCAGTGCAGGGAGACACTGGCACCCTCCCTCTGGGGAAAAGATGTCCCAGAAGAGATTGTCCCAAAGGCCACACATCTGCCCAGGACCAAAGCTTCCCCCTGACTGTTCCCTTAAGTCAAGGCCAGTCTCACTGTTTGAGTGCCTGCTGTGTGTGTCAGGTGCTGACCAATAAGACAAGGGGGGCATGCTGCTCCCACATGTGCCCTGGGTCTGGGGTCTGGAGGAAGCCAGCAGGTGGCTCTAAAGTGAAGAATCACACGTCACAGCCTGGGAGGGGCACAAGAGTCCAGATGAGCTTTGCGGTGGGCTTTGCGCCACCCCGTGAAAAACACACTGGGTTTCAGCAGGCGGGAATGTGAGCCTTGGTCCCAACCACGAAAAGCCAGATGTGGGGAAGTGGGGCAGAGCCACACGGGCCTGAGAAGGGGTGTGATGCAGGAAGAAAGCTATGAGGTCTCTGGTGTTCTGCAGGGACTGACACCTGGGGAAACCCCTGCAAGTGTGAGCACAGACCTGAGCAGAGCAGGCCAGAAGGAGCCGGCAGCTGGTGGTGAGGATGCTAGAGGTCCAAAAGGACCTCTTTCTTGGCCTCAGGGGCAAGTCTTTGTGATTTAGTACAATAAAAGTTGAGGGCTTGGGCTTCCCTGGTGGCGCAGTGATTGAGAGTCCGCCTGCCGATGCAGGGGACGTGGGTTCGTGCCCCTGTCCGGGAAGATCCCAGATGCCGCAAAGCAGCTAGGCCCGTGAGCCATGGCCGCTGAGCCTGCGCATCCGGAGCCTGTGCTCCGCAACGGGAGAGGCCACAACAGTGAGAGGCCCGTGTACCGCAACAACAACAACAACAAAAAGTTGAGGGCTTTAGAAGTCTTGCCCTGGGCATATTAAGGCCCTATAGGTTCAGAGGGAAGCTACTGGAGTCTGGCAGGGAGAGCTGCTGACACCTTGATGTCCCCTGGCTCTGGGGGCCTCCTGGGTTGGCCTCCATCATTCATTCAGTGGCACTGAATCCCCTTGAGGACCCAGCAGCCTGTCCCTCACTCATCCCTCTTTCAGCTCACCTGATTTCTACTGACCTGCCTGGCAGGGTAGGTCACCCTTCCTGGCTTTACACTTGAGAAGGTAAGTCAACGTAGAAGTTGGATCCCTTCAATTTCCCTTCTTCCTTCCGTCACCTCTTTCTCTGGGAATTTTGAACAGCAGTGAGAACTCCTTACAGAAAGTACAGGAGCAGACATGGACCAGTGACCTGAGTTCCAGGCAGATGCTGATGAAATAGGAAAGGAAAGGTGTAATTCCTACATCAACTCTTAATTAAACCGATGTTTACCCCACACTCACCCTGAGCCGGACTCGTTCCAGGAACCGCCTGAGTCCTTGTCACTCATGTGAGCTCTCGGGATGTTGCGTGAAGACAGACCACACTACACAGAGGATCTTGGAGGCGGCCTTGAGCAGACCTAAGTTTTGAATCCTGGACAAGCCCTTCACCTCCAGGAGCGTATGGGTCTCCTGTGTGCCAGGCCACTGTTCCTGGCAGGGATGAGACCCGCTCCAGTTACGGAGGCAGTGCAGGCAGTCTGACAGGCGGCATCAGAAACACCATGAGAATCTTCTCCATAATGCCTGGGGACCTCGGGTCCGCACCTGCAACCTGGACACGTGGCCTTTGAAACGTCTACACAGAAGGCTCAGGAGAGCATTTGGGCAGGATCACCAGGCCCCGCCTCGAAGGGGGCGTGGCCGGTCGGGAGCGCACTCCGGGGCCAGTCCCGCGAGACCTCACGCACCAGGCGCGGCTTGCGTTGCCCGGGCGACGGCTTCCGGGCGCGCAGGCGCAGTGCGGGCGTGCCCTGCCCCCTGCCGCGGCCGCCGCGCCTTCCCCTTTAAGCCCCAGCCGGTCGCGTCGCCGCTTCATGAATGGAGCCCACGTGACCAAACATCATGTGACGTCTGTGGAGCGGCGGCAGCGGCGGCGGCGGCGGCGGCGGCGGAGGAGGAGGCATCGCCGCCGCGCTCGTCGCGCGGCCTGTGCCCCGCCGTGGCCTTCCGCCTGCTGGACTTCCCCACGCTGCTGGTTTCCCCTCCCGGCGGCCCCGTCGCCCCCGCCCCGGAACTTCGGCCCGGCCTGGTCAGCTTCGGTCGCGGCAAGTCCTGTCTCTTCCGCCTGCAGCCTGCCAGCCTGCACCGCCTGCTCCTTCGGAGGCCGCTTTACACCTTTCTGCTGCAGCTGCCCCCCGGGCGCCCGACCCCTGCCCCGCAGCTCCTGGGGGCCTGCAGCATCTCTCTGGCCGCCGCGGCCCACAGGGTCCTGGGGCCCGCCGCCTCCGGCTGCTCCCAGGGTCATCGGGGAAGTTTCCCTCTGCAAAACCAAGAGGGGGAGCGGATTGGGCACATTGCCCTGGGCTACCGCCTGACTGACCTGGGAAGCAGCTTGCTGGGCCATCTGGCGAGGCCAGTCGCTTCCACAGGAGGTGGAGTGGAGGGTGTGGAGGTCAGTACCCAAACCTTGCAGGAAAACCAGCAGCTGCGGCAGCCAGACTCAGAGCCAAGCCCAAGAGATGCTGATAAGCCTCTGGTGGATGTAAAAATCTCAACGGCAGGGAAGGATTTGAAGGAGGGGGTCTTCCACAGCAAGGCCAACTCTGATTACACGGCTTCCGTGGAGAATGGCAAAACCAACTCCGTTATTTGTTCAAAGGGTAGCAGTGAGAGGAGTGCTAGCCCCCAAAATCGGGAAGTGACAGAGCTAGACATTGAAACCAACATAATTTGCCCTCCTCCTCTGTATTACACTCATGTGACCCAAGAAAAGACACCTCCTAAACAGGGTGAAATCACTATTGAGCCTCAAATGCGGCGGCGGCCGGGCCGGGGCCGGGGCCGGGGGCCAGGGCCGAGCGGGGGGCGGGCGGGTGCTCCGATCCGGCGGCGCGTGCTCGCGGGGCCGCTGCTCCTTCCGGCGGCCTGTGGCGGCGTGGTCCGGGTGCTCCGGGCTTTGGGTCTGCCCTGTGCCCTGCTGGCGGCCCGTGCCTCGATTTCCCCACCGGTCCGGGGCGGCTCCTGGTCCCTCCGCCGGGGGTGCTGGGGTGGGCGCGCGGGCCCGCAGGGGCGGGGTGGGGCGTGCGCTGGTCTTGCTCGGTGAGGCCGGGGAGTCCTGGAGGGAGGGACGGCCGGGGTGGCGGGAGGAAAGGGTGGGGTCGAGCGGGGCGCCCAGGGCTCCGTGGAAGAGCTCGGCGGCCCCAGCCTGAGCTGCTGATTCATCAGGTGTCTGTGTCAACGCCTCCCAGGCGCGGGGTCCTCGGCTGGCTAGGGGGAGGAAGCGGCACGTGGGGGGGGCGACTGGGAAGACCCTGCCCGCTCCGGCTTCGCTCCGTCACACGCTTGCCAGAGCCCAGAAGGAGACTTGCTGAGTCATCAGCATGAGGTCACTCGATGCTCGTCCTGATGCCTGGGGGGATTAGAGCTAGGGGCCTGAGAGGCCGGGAAACAGGGGTAAGAGGGAAACCGTGGGGAGTGAGAAGGGGCCAGGCCCCGGGCTGGGGCGCCTGCTTAAGTTTGGGCTGA